TTGGATAATAATAATAATGAATTAAAATGATTAAACTTTTCCGATATTATTTGAATAATAATATTGTACTAAAATAAAAAATAACAATAAAAAAAAAATATATATATATAAAACAAAAAAAATTTGCATAATCTAAGGAAAACAAAAAAATACAAAACTTCGTTTCACTCGTCATATTAAATGAAATGACATACATGGAAAAAGATTATGCACCAGAGAGGAATTAAAAATAATAATAATAATAATAATAGTAGTAGTAGTTAATGATGATGATAAAATAAAAATAAATAAATAAATGAATATACAAATATAGGCTTTTTCGTGCCAAAACTGACCACGAGTTAGAATATTGTCTCATTCACTTTTCAGAATAATCTGATGTATAAATGTTCTTGTATATGAATATTTGAAAGATGATATTTTTTATTAAGAAAGATCCTTTTTTTTTTTCTTCCTTTTTTATTAACGAAGTTAAATTTGAATTTATTTTATCTATGAGTCAGTCTCCAACAACGAGTTGAGATTCAGTCAATAAAAGTAAACAAAACGTTTGAGCATAAAGCACATGTTAGATGAATAGAACTCCGGTTTATTGGTTGTCAAATAATCGTCCATTGTTAAATGTTGTAAATGTGAATTTACATTGTAAAATTATTTAGATGGTTGTTGTTACAGTATTCGAAGATTTTGGATACGCTTTTATTCTAATTACATGGGTTTGTTAACTTTTATTGACTCTATTCGTTGAGCGCGAACTGTAAATGTAAATATAAATACAACAGTAAATTTAGAAATTAATATATCATTTGTCAAATATTAAATATTTCATTGCTTCAACAAGTTAAACTCATTAAAATGATATTTTTTATGATTGAAACTTAATTAAAATGACATTCGATTGGAAAACTAACATGGAACATTTGTAATAATACTTTTCAAAAAATAAACGAATATTTCGATGTACTAATAGTAATTGTCCACGATGAAAGAAAAAGAACAGAAACTTTGTTAAAGTTTTCATAAAGGGGGCCAAGTTTCGAACGTCTTTGTCATAAAAAAAAAAAAAATAATAATAAAGTATTACATGTTTTATCATATTGAATCAATTGTAAAAGAAGAAATGGACATTGAAACTATTAGAAAAAAACAGAAACATTTGATTAAACGTTTTGACTCGTAAATAAAAAAATACAAATTTTTCAATTAAAATAATTAATTCATGACAAATTGCTTAATATATAATAACAAAAAAAAAACAAAAAAAAAAAATAATGCCGTAAAAATATTACATTGCTGTAATGAAGAACAAATGAAAATGATTTTATAAAACGTTCGCTACCATAAATGAAATTAATATGTTTAATTAATATAATCTTTTTTTTTTTTAAATAATAAACAAGATCTCTCTTACTAATACTAATTATAAATAATACATACTTAAATAATTTATATATATATATATATATAAGTAAAACCAAACAAAAATACAGACACACATACATACATATACACGCAAAGAAAACTTGCAATAATTTTTATCGATATAAAATTGTGCAAAGCCAAAAATATTTTTGACAGAAGAAAAAAAGAAAAAAAAAAAGAAAAAAACAAGATGAAAATTATAATCTTGAATAGTTGATTTAAAAATGGATAAAGAAGAAAAAAAAGATAATGACCTTGAAATATTTATTGTCTATCTAACGTGCTATAATATTTACGTAATACTGATGATATGTTACGATGATCGTTAATCAACTATTTACAAAATTATCAAACTGCGTGATTCAATGATCGTTTTGTAGTTGATATTATAATAATAGTAATAATAATTAATAATATTAAATAATAATAATAATAATAATAATAATAATAATAATAATTATGGAACATAAAAAAAGAGTAGTTCCAATCTGTACAGTTACATATATTATTATAAATAGTTTAGTTGTATTATTTACGATAAGTGAAGACACATTAAAATATACACACATACTTGTATGTAGTAGTAATGTCGATAATTAGAAAAATTCAAATTAAAAGTAGACAATTTTGAAGATTTATTAATAAAATAATAATAATAATAATAATAATATATATAATAATAAAATTTTGAAAGAAACAACAAAAGAAGAAGAAGAAGAAGAAGGAAGAAAATTGTTGATTCTTGGTATTACAAAAAAAAGAAAACTTGAAGGAAAGATGGAGGAAAAAAATGAATAAATAAAATATATAAAAATTACGATAAAAATTATAATTGTTTCTGCTGTACAGTGATAAAATTGATAATTAGAATTGTAAGGTGATCAATTATGACACAAATTTGAATGAAAAAAGGATTATTAATAATACGTGGGTTTTTTTTTTTTGTATATTCTACGTTTTATTCTTCATATTTACATACGTGCATTCGCAATTATTATTTCCTTCTAGTCTGGCTTAATTGTAAAAATAAAAATATATGAGTAAGAGGTAAAGAAAGATATTATAAATGTAAAAAAAAAAAAGAAGAAAAAAAAAGTGAATTGATATTTAAAATGCTTAATATAATATTTTTTCCAAATCATGCACAAAACACAAAAAAGAAAATCTTCATTTGTGGATTCAAACCTATATATATGAAATAAAAGATATAACGCGTGTGTCGTATTCTCAAATAAAAAAATATTCGAGGAAAAACACAACACACCTTGAGAAATATTTAATATTAATTAATTATTAAAAAAAAAAAATTAATAATTAGATCTATAATAGAAGAAAATAAAAAAAAAAAAACAAGAATATTATTTGTAAAATCTATGTAAAGAAGAGTGAGTCTTCTGTTTTAGGAACTTTACTATTAAATGATTAATTAATTAATTGAAAATATTTTTAAATAATCATTTTTCAAACGAAATATTTTAATTCCTTATTCTTCACACAATTAATTGTAATTCATACAACAAGAGTGATCGAAAATTGAAGAAAATATAATAAAAATCAATAAAAAAAAAAAAAAAAGATAATAAGATAAAAATAATTAATAATAATCGTAATTTATACAAGTTGCGACTATTTGAGATTTGTTTAATTTTTTTCTGACTATTTATAATTATTTAATTATTATTACATATCGTATATTTCTTTTTTAATTTTTTATTGAGATAAGTTGTATCAAAAGCAGTTTAAATTAATCGATATAATAATTTAAAAAAAGAACATTACTAATGTAATGATCGAGAAAAAAAAAGGAAGGACGACATATTTAATTATTTTTTTATTATTTATTGTGTAAAAAGATTCTTTTTTTTTTTCACCAGAATAATTATTGTACATAATTTCCTTTCGTTTTTAATTGCGAAAAACAAGTTGTAAACAATTGAAGTATATAAAATTCGAAATATAAAATACATATAAATTGCGGTATACATTTTGCATCCACCATTTTGTTTAGGGGAAATAACAAAAAAGGAAAGACCAAAAAAAAATAAAAATATATATATATATATATCTATCGAAAAGCCTCGTTCTTTCGTGTTAGAAAGAATAAGGATTCAAAATAAGAAATAATAATAATAACAATTATAATAATAATAAAAATAATAATAATAATAATAAAAATAGTAATAAATGAATTAAAAAGTAATACAAAATAAAATGAAGATAATAGGAAGCTTGCTATTGTGATAACAAAAATTAATCATTATTATCGTTATCATCATTATCATCATCATCATTATTATTATTATTATTATTAATATTATTATTTCATAAATTCAATTTGTTATTTAAAATATATTTTCTACCTAAAATAAATTAGAAAAATAAATACAAATAGTTTGCTTCTACCTAAATTCATTGCAAATTTTGAGATTCCTATTATATTGATCGTAAGAGATTCGAAATTCAAATTTTTACGATTTTTAAGGGGGTCATAATTAGAAAGAAGGGGAAGTAAAGGGATTGGAGTGAAAAAAGAAACTAAGAAAAGCTGAAAAGAAAAAAAAACAAAGATGGATGTGAGAGAAAGAATATAAGAAAAGAATAAAAAAAAAAAAAATCACCTAAGAAAATCTACTAAAGTGTGTGTTCGTGTGTGCGTGATTCGCCGAAAACAAAAAAGTAAATAATATAAAGATTAAAAAAAAAAAAAAATAAATAAATAGAACAACATTAAAATATATAAATTTATTAACAAGAGAAACGAAGAAATTGTACGTTCTCTTCTTTTTCTTCTTATTATTTAAAAATTTTGTTGGATTCATTAGATTTACAAAACAAAAAACAAACAAATAAATAAATACAATGTAGAAAAAATAATGACAAGAGACAATTGGAAGTGATATGAAAGTTTTATTGCATCAAGATTCGTTTACGTTTAAACTAAACGTTCCAACGAACTTGTGCTTTTCAATTAGTGTATCTGTGACTTTTCTGTGTGTGAATAGTAGTATAGTAGTAGTAGTGTAGTAAACACTTGTTTCGTTGGGTTGCGTCCTAAGCGCGGGAAAGAAGAACACGTTCGAATATCCTTTTGATCGCGTTCTCGTAAAAAATAAGTACGCATAAGGGTTTCAATCGGAAAGTACCATGGGTTAAGCAACAATTTGCGACGTTGTATCAGGATGTTGCGGTTAATATGGCGGTCACCAAGCTTAGGGCTGCACCAGTCATTACAAGACTTCTCCAAATTGCATCGCTAGTTTCTTCGGCAACTGGATATTCTTCGCAAAGTTGTTCCTAAAAAAAATATATATAGAATATTTTTTTATTAATCAATTAGCCGAAGAAAAAAAAAATAACGGGTTTGAATTTTAATTTAAGATTAATCAGTGATACTTTTAGCTTTGATATATTTGAAATTTAATACAGTTAAAAAAAAAAAAAATTATTTTAAAGTTTGTCATTCTGAAATATCATCTAACAATAATTTCTTTCTGTTTATTTTTTTTTTTTTTACACAAATAATTACTCATCTTCTCAAATGAATAAATGGATGAGTATCTGACTATTGTATTACATATTATATGAGTCACGTGGTAAAGATGGAGGGATGATAAGTTGAATGAAAACTCACCCATCCATATTCCTTGATAAAAATAGCAATTTCGTCAGCGATATATCTTGAGATGTATATAGGTAATTTTTGTTTTAGTGTTGTCATTCTCCTATCTCTGGCCCATAATGCAAGTCTTCCCGTAAAAGTGTACAAACAAACAATTTTCGCCCACGTAACACCACGAATGAACAATTCGTCAGCGACTATACGAAAAGTTTCATATGCGGTATCAGGGCTAACGTTTAAACGGTTGACCATACTTGTGAATAGTATATTGTGCTTGTTCAGCATCCGGTATACGTTATGCCGCATGCTGCGAGATATCGGATCTCTTGATATACGATAAATGTCTTCCTTCAAGAGATAGCGTATCACGTCGTTAGCCAAACACTCGGCAGTATATTCAATCGAGTTCTCACAGAGTCTGTATCGTGGGGGTGGTGTCAATTGTGGGAAAAGATATTGCAATCGTATCTGTAATAAATAAATTACATTGAAAAATATATTACAATATATAACAAAAACATCAGATAATGCATGTATTGCTAATGCATTCATTATCTTTCTATCATATTTGATATTTGAAATATTTTTTTTTGTTTTTCAAAGTAATGATCGTGTGTCAAACAATAACAACAACAAAACAACATAGTGTTCGTATATGTTCGTGCTTTCTCCCTCGTTCTCCCTTCTCTTTCTTTCTTTCTTTCTTTCTTTCTTTCTTTCTCACTCGAGTGACCGCGAAATGTACTGACTCTCGAGGTCACGAGTATTGCCTATCGATTCTCTCATGCCTCGACAATGGTAGACTAAAGCTGGCAACGGGAAAGAGAAAGAAAAAAAGCTAGGGGGTTGAACCAAAAAATACGAATACATAAAATAAGTAAAAACATATTGTATGCATATATATACATACACACACATATATATAAATATATATATTACATGTTATACATTACCTGGCACATTTCGATAAAAGACATAACACTGGTAGCAGTCCGTATGGCATATCTGTATATTATCCCTCCTCCTTCCCCTTCACTTCCATCCCTTTCATCAAGTTCCTGTTCAGACTCTTCCTCATCTTTATAGTCCTCGGCTTCGTTGGAGACAGTGCCGGCAGCGGCAACTACGGCGCTGCAGGCTTGTTGCTTGCTCGGTGAATTCCTGTTACCGGGTGGATCGCATTCCAGAATGCCGCCCACTCTGGAATGCGGTTCTCCCCGCGCTAACGCACCCCTTACCTCCTCTCCCTCCTTCGCGAAGATCTCATTGTTCGTCTTCGGCGCTCCTTCGTCGCCGGCCATTCTTTTCCTCTTTTAACTCTTTTTTTTTTCCTTTTCTTCCTAACGTTTAATTTTCTCTTCTCTCCTTCTTCTTCTTCTTTTTCTCTCTTTCTTTATTTTTCTCTCTTTTCAACTTTCACGCGCGAATATTTCTCACAGTAAGTCTTCTATCCTTTCGTTGATCGTTAATACTTCCTCTCATAACAAAATGAACTATTTGAAATAATTACTTTTTATTTTTCATCTCACTTAACACCAAACCAAATTATTTTCAATATGTCAAATTATATAACTGGGCCACAAACAACGAGAATTATTATTATTATTATTAGATATTGTTTTTTTTTTCTTAATTTCTCCTTAAAACTGTTGGAGTTAAAACGTTCGTTGTTACTCGTCGCGTAGTTGGTCTCTTGGTCGTCGTCGTCGTCGTCGTAGTCGTCGTCATTCGCCGGCCGACGAAGCGCTCTCTACGTTCCCGCGGCCATTTCCAAAGCCAGGCCTAGCCGCTTAATCCCCCACCACTCGGCAAAGTTCGTGCCGCGATTCTACCGACCAATCGGAATACACCGTGTACTCTCTTAACAGCGCCGCTGCACGCACTCGCACCAATATCCACCCCACTACCTCCTATCCCCACCTCTTTTTTCGAGTATCTATGGATCATTCAACATTTCTCCCCACCACTAGCGCCCTCGCCGCCGTATTCGGCACGCGAGAGTCGTGGCGCCACCTCACCCCTCTTCACTCCTCCCGCGACTCTTGCCGCGTACACACGTGCGGCTTGTATTTCTCTCTCTCTCTCTCTCTCTCTCTCTCTCTCTCTCTTTCTCTCTTTCTCTCTTTCTCGATAGATACATATAAGTCTACATTTCTGTTCTCTCTTTCGTACTAGGGTACTTTTCTTCTTCTGTGTGTGTGTTGTGTGTATGTATGTATTAGTACACGTGTCTCCAACTCACTACTACTCTTTATATGTGAGAGTTTATATCGGTGTAGTTACATATATGTATGTATGTATGAATGCATGTATGGATGGTGGTATACCCCCCGAACAGAGAGACAGGATACTGTGAGAATGGAATTTTCGAGGAGATCGCAAGAGACGTTCTCTCTGCCTACTCGTCTCGTTACTTCCCCTTCTATTTCTATATACTCTTCAATGTATTCTTTCCTTGCTAACGGGATATTACGAGGAAAATGTTAATGCGTTCACTGCTGTGGTAATTTATTTTTTTTTTTTAATCAATTTATAATACCCATTTTAATTATTTTCCTTTTTTTTCAGATTAATGATACAATTTATGTATATATTCTTATAAATATTTTATTACATTTATTTCATTGATATATTACAATTCTTTATGTTATTTAAATGTTGTAATGATCATAATACTTTTTTTTTAACTTCCCATAGGAAAGATCTTTTTTTGATCGAATGATTTCCGTTTATGGAAGGTTGCATAACCATCTGAGCTCCTTTAGGAAATGCTCGATCTTTGACTCTATCCGGTATATACAAACATACATACACTCACACACAGTCATACTATATATAGGAAGTATATACACAACAGTGTTTATAAACCTCGAGAAAGAGAGAGAGAGAGAGAGAGAGGGAACGTGTTCCTTTCTTCGGTGAAAGTCAGTTCAATGAATCGTTACATCGAATTTGAAGATTTGTCTAAATCTTAACTTGTGGTTTCTCGTTATATTAAATACAATCCTTCTGTTATAAGAAATAATAATTCAATTATTATTGGAATCGGAAATATGAAAAAAATTAATATACAGTATTACTTTAGATAAATTTTTTTTTTTACTTAAAAGGAATTTATTATACAGCAAGTCTGTTCTTGCACATGCTGGATCACCTAACACACCGTCTTGGTTATATACTCGATTCTTGCAAAGCCGCTTGGTGCAACCTTCAAAGGCCACCGGAGAACGCGTCGATGAATGAAGTAGGAAAGTTGCGGAGTGCCACGCTCAAAGACCGGATATACGTATACTAGGTGGCCAAGAATAAGCGTCTCGTCGAACCAGTTTTAACTTTGCCAACGTCATGTCCGTCTCCGATATGATTATCCTTAGATCGATATCTTACCTTCTTACATCATTCTATCGTGTTTGAAAGTTAAACTGTTGTCTTTCTTTTTAGTTTTTTCTTATTGTTGTTCTACTTCGTAATTTCTTTAACATACGTCATTTAATTTCATAACCCAATTCGTATTTCATCATTTATATATATATATATGTGTTATTTATTTTATTTATTAATGTTGATTTTTGATCAAGGATTAAGAAATTAATACAAAGGTAAATATATTGATTGATGTATTTAGATTTCTTGAAATTTACAGTCTTGGATTTGTAAAATATTTTTCTGATAAAATTAAAATAAATGTTTATCAAAAACAATTATTTGCTATACATACGAATATAATTTTATTTTGTATTAATAGATAAAGGTATAATAATTAAGTATTTTATTCTTAATTTTGTATATATATATATATTTAATGTAATTTAAAATTAAGTTACGCAACCTTATATGGGATCCACACTTTAGAAAAATGCTATTACATCGTTTTTAATTATTTTTATTATTATTAGCACACGCTTAGTTATATATATTTTCATAGAAAAATAATAGTGATAAACGAGAGTTTACATTTTATATTTAATTTTAAAATAATTTATATATAATAATATATTGGGGTGAGAATGTTCTGTAATACGATTAAATATTGTGAGAAATGTTTGATTAGATAATAAAAAATAGTTTGATTTTACAGAATGTAAAATTATTCACTTTCAAATTCATGATCTTAAAGTTGAAAGTTTCTCCGCTTTGACACGTAGCAATAGTCATACATCATATCTAACTCTAGATACATAGATTATCATAGATCTAAACTACTAAGTGCAGGTCATAGCGAGGCGTACTTTACCGGTCGAGGGTCAAATATATTGCGATCGATATAAAAAATACAAATTTAAATATAAATTAAACGAAAAAATTTAGTTCAATTTTTCCAAAAAAAAAATGTAATTTAAAACGTATGATATATACAACTATATATATATATATACTATATAACGATAAACATACATTAAATGATAACTCTTTTTCATTTACAAAATCGTGTCTATGTAATAACATGATTTGTTTCTATATAAAAAGAAATTGTTTAAAATTATTATATATTATAATTGTTATATAATTATATATAACAATTATATTTAATTTATTATTAACTATTATTATTTTAACTTTATTATTATATTTATTTAACTTTATTATATATATTTCATTTTTATTTATTATAATTGTTAAAGTATAACTATTATAATATAATAAAATTATATAAAGTAATATATCGCAATATATGATCCTTCAATATTATTTTAAAATAATAATTATATTATATTTACGTAATTAAAAAAATTAAATTAAAACATTAATTTTTACTATTACAAAAATAAATGACTTTTATTATCAATGATATTAATTTAATTTTCATTGATAATATTCGACTTTATTAAGATATTTAAATCTGTAAGCAAACGTAAATATTATACAAATTTGAATATGTTAAATATATGACGATTGAACATTGATTGAATCATTGATTAAAATTTATTATAGTCAAATTTCTTTCTTACTGAATATACTGAGATAAGTTTAAACGTTGAATAACTCGTAGAATTTTGTCTCACCGTGTATGAATGCTTCAGGCGATAGCGTTTCTCAATGAACCTCTCTCCCTCTCTCTCTTTCTTTCTCTTTTTCCATTCTATTTCTCTTTCTCTCTCTCTCTCTCTCTTTCTCTTTCTCGTTATTTCCCTTTCTCAACTCGAGTGCATGCTACGACTATAAGCCGATGAAATTCCTGAGTTCTCTTGTGGTATGCCAACGATTTTCTTCTTCTTGCTACGATATCACTTATAAAATGTCTTTTCTTATTATCTTCGATTTAAATGAAAGTAAATGATTTTTAAACAAAAACAACAACAAAAATAAAACAAAAAAGAAAGAAAGAAAGAAAGAAACAGAAGGGAAAAAAAAACAAGAAAAGGAAAACAACTTAATTTTCTATAATAATACAAAATAATTATATATTATTATATCGTAGTATTTAATTGCAATTTATATTATAAAAAATGTTAAAAAAAAAAAAAAAGATTTCGATAATGAAGTTTCTAATTATATTTTCATTTCTATTTATTAATTAATTGATATTTTGTAAATTCATATTGATCAGTATTTATATCACAGGTAGTGTTGTATTAAGATTACATATTGATACAGTGTATCAATGGTGGTTGAAACAGTGATACTATGTATCAATGGTGATTGTAAATATTCACAAATGAAGAAAACTTTAGTTTATAAAAACATCTACGATAAATAACACCTATTTATTTGTTAACAATAATAAAATAAAATATAATTGTAAATGTGTATACATGCTTATTATTACATATTATTATATATGTAATATATTATAATATAATTATTTACATATAATAATATTAGGTTGGGTTTTTTCTCGTGTGAAATAAAACTCTATTGTTTCTATGTACAAAAACAATGTACTTTAAATTAAATAACTATAAAATTCTAACATTAACAAAAAAAAAAAAAAATAACGAAACAAACATAACAGTATTTATTGGTGCAAGCCGAAATTACTTTCTTGTCAACCCAATATATATATATATATATATATTTATACATACAATATATTATTATATATTATTTTAAAGTTACAAGGCTTTTATTTATAAAGAGAAAGAGAGGGAAATAATTTATTTACGTATGTACTTAAAGATTTAAGTATACTTACTTACATTAGATGACCTCGTTAAACAAGCCAATCTTATTGCAATTCTCTTAAAATATAGCACGCAGGTGCAACTTTGCAATGATTGTACGATTATAGAAACTTGAAGGCATCACTCTCTTTTAACTTACCTTTCTATACCAAACTCGGTGAGAGATTTACAAAACGAGAGGTATTAGAACACCGTAACCGGACATGGATAAATTGGCGATCTGACTCACGTGTAGATGACATCTAATTGGGTCATTATCTCACACTGTCGTTGTAGTTTGCTTCTTAAAGTACGTTCGAATATCGCACGAGGGGAGAATTCGATGTTACTCAATCCTTCAAAATTATTGCATTATAACTTTTTTTTTAAATTTTATTTTAAATAATATTGGAAAGATAAAATAATATATGTGGTGTCAAATGTTGATACAAATTGTGATTATATCATATGAAAGTAAAATCATTTAATTATAAAATTATCACAAATTTTATAATACAAGTATTTTGTATGTTCAGTAATGTTAGTTATTGTGAAAAGTTATAATAAAAAAAACAAAAAAATAAGGGTCTTAAATAATATAGCAGATTATTGTATGCATGTATTATTATTGTTATCTAAAGATATATGTAGATAGCAATAAACATATAGATAAATATAACATATAATATACATATTTATATGATATTATTAATATTATTATATATATTATATATTATATAGTGTAATTTAATATATATTAAATTATAATATAAATAATATAATATAATATAATTATATTAAATTATAATAAATTTATATATATATATATATATATTTTGTTTAATTTTATTTTTTTTTTCTTTCTTCAAGTTTGCAAATAATAAGACAATGTTAAGTGATGTATCGATAAGGTTGATCGAGTAGTATTGTTTAATTCACAAGCTAGAAATAAGACCGTGGGAAATTTGAATGAGATAGAATCGTTCGTGCACAATATTTCAGGGCAACTCGTGGCCATCCATGGTCTGGGCAGCTTTTCTTACCGTCATTCATGATACTATAGTACGGCAATAGGATGATTGCCCTGACGGTCGCTCCAACTAAAGTGAATAAAGTCTTCTCTACAGTAATTTTAGTTTAACAGGGCGCTGAGGTACCGAGGTTTAGCCCTTCACCGATAATCTCATTCCCCCCTCCACTTTACCTCCCTCCTCTTGAATTCTTATTTTTATTTTTACTTTTATTCGAATTGAAATTATTATTTTTTATCATTAATATTATTATAATAAAAATAATGTTTTCTTTTTTACGATATTATACAAATTTTACTTGATATTGAAATATCAATCATATGTATGCTTATAAATGTAAATTATGTGAGGTTATGTTCTCTGGCATGCGTGTAAGCATGCGTGTAATTAATTACTTTTACGGTGCTTATTATTGAGAATCATATAATACGTTTCTATCAATAATCTGTTATATAATAATTTTAATTAATAATTTTAATAAAAATAAGGACTAAGTGTATCTAAATTTTTAGCTATTAGTGTACTTTGTAACAAATTGAAAAAATATTATTTTCTTGAAATCAATACAAAATTCTAAAAAGGTTTAAAAATTGCAGAATGTTCTTTGTCTGGTTATCACGACGTATTATAATACAAGCTGTCAAAAAATAATTAACTGATAACGAATGCAAAGGTCAACATTATCAAATGACGTAAGATGATTTTTAAAAAAATTTTCCAACAGAAAAAAATTACGTTCTTAATTTAACACAAGAATAAATTTAATATTTAGTATAGTATATGTACACGTTGATACTTGTCCTATGTTAAATATACTATAATAAATTATAATATAATTAAATACAGTATATTATAATATACTATATTATAGTATAGTATATATTATATTATATATATAATTATAGTATATATTACAGTATAGTATATATAATAACATTGTATTTTATACTATATTATAATATACTAATTAAATATATATCATATTATATTATATTATATTATAGTATAGTACATATATTACAATACAGTATAATTTATACAATAGTATTATATTGTGTATATATATAATTATAGTAAATATTACAGCGTAGTATGTATTATAATATAGTGTGTGTGTATTATACTATATTATAATATACTAATTATATATACTATAATATAGTATAATTAAATATACTTTATTATAATATACTGTACAATATTAAATTATATTAGAGTATTGTATATTATACTGTATTATAATAAACTAATTAAATATACTATAATATAGTATAATTAAAAATACTGTACTATATTATAT